TGCAAGGCCCGGGCGCCTGCAGCGTTGGGAGCCACCGTGCTGCCCGTGGCATCGACGGCAGAAATCCTGAACCTCTCGGCTTGAGAGAGCCCTACAGTTTCAAAAAAATCAAAGAGAAAGTGGCGTTTTGTTCAAAACCGTGCGTAATTTTTAGCCTCTGTTGTAACATAGGGTCAGCAGGTAGCGTGCCCGACGGAAGGAGTTCAGCGTGGTGCGGTGTTATGCTGAAGGCTAATCTGTGAATCTGCTCAGGATCAGCTCCCCATGAACAGTCACCCTGCAGCTTATTCCCATACCCTGGGACTTCTTCCATGACATGTCCTGCTTGCCATCTCCGTTTTTTTGCTCAGATCTCGAGCCTTCTTGCATCCCTGCAGTACCCTTTGAAGTTCAGTAGGAGTACAAGGGATTCAACATCTTAAAAGTTAGGCTTCTCAGGCAAAACTTTACTCATGGCAGTAGAATCACAGGAATTGGTGAAAGTATTTGCATGTGTAAAGGATTTTAGCATCAGACCTTTCATCTGTCAGCAGTTTGGGGCACAGAACTGTCATATTTGTATGGCTGGAAAGCAATACGTATATCCCAAGCCTTGCGTATGACAACATTACAAATTGCAGTTCCAGAACCTCTTCCTATGAATTTCAAAGCCAAAAGTGACCACTGAAATTAGCTCACCAAGCTGCTGTATTGCAGGATAGTGAGTTTCATCTGGTAACCTAAGTGTATCGCTAATTGCACATGTTTTTAGGTATCTGTTCAGACAGACGAGATTAAAAAATCAGGGCAAAATTCTTGCTGTGGGCTTCAGTGAGGACAGGATTTCATACTCAGTCTTTGTTCAGCGTTCTCTTAATGACTTTTTATTGGACTTCCTGGGGGGTTTTGTTATTTGGTTTTTTTGTGTTTTCCGGCTGTGAGGTCAGGATAACATTATCATTCTACTCTGTGAGAGCATTAAAAAGGTGAAACTACTGATGATCAACCGTCATGGCAAATGCTTCTTTGAAATAGCTCTTTTTAAAAAATTACTAGCCCTACCCACATTTTCACCACCCAGGCTCAGATGTATGAGATCTGCATGATGTAAGTACGTACAAAATTAATGTTGCCGTATAAACTGTTTGGGGTAGGTGTGTTATTTGCACCAGCAAGACATGGTAGTGCAGGTTTGGCTCTGAAAGTCCTGTAGCATCCCTTTCACATGATACGTGTTTCCTGGTTTGTATTTGGGTTTTTTTGTTTTTCTGTCTCTATCTCTGACAACTTGTATTGTGCAATATAGCAATGCGCACCCCAGTCCATTGCAGTGATGTTTTACTCTGGCTCTTTTCTCTGTCTCTCCACTCCTTCTGGGAATTTTGCGCATTTTTTTCGCAGTGAAGTAGTCCAAAGTATGTAAATTATGCCACCATATTAATTAGAATTGCTGAACTAATTGGGAAACACTTCCAATCTGTTCACTGTTTGTTTCTTTCAAATAACAAAGGTATCTCATTCAGAAAGATGCCTTACATCTAGTTTGCAGCACTAGAAACTATCTTATTTTAAATCTTCTTTTGGGAAGTCTCATGAAGCCAGTGGACACTTTCCTGCCTACCATAACATAAAAGCAGTAATAAGCTTTTAATTCTGTTGAGTTTGTGAAAGATTTTTTTCGGGAGATAGAAATGATCACATAATGAAACTCAACATACGCCTTTTAAGCAAGAAAATTTTGCACGTACAGTATATGGGAGCTTGAGGCCCAATTTTCCAATACCTTTATGAACAGATGTTCATGGCACCATTTCAAAAACCCTCCTTTAAACAAATTCTATATATGAGGTTGGAGTGGGAGGGGGTTGGTTTGGTTTTTTTAACTTGTAGTGTCTGTGGAAGTCCCTACAAGGTGGGAGATTTCTCACAAGCATTATAGAGGTTATAATTTGAGGAAGAAAGAGAGGCATGTTTACCATTGCCAGTATGATTCATTTTGCTGAAGTTCTATGACTAATAGCAAATTCCAGAAAGGTTGATTGCTCACAACTAAATCTGAACGGGAGGTGTTAGCTGTTCTGGACTGCCCAGAGCAGGACCATACTTCACTATTTACAGTCTTTATTAGATAAGAATGTAACTATCCAGATATTTTAAAAAGATGCTGAGAATTTATCCAACTTATAGGCAATATTAGCAGTACTGTAAGGACTGATAATGCTGTGATTTCCTGCTTCAGCTTTGTGTCAGACCATTACATCGACTCTTTCTGATTAATACTGCAAAGCATTTTTGGAAGCTTCCAGAAGAAATGTCCTAAAAATAGGACAGAGTTTACTGTAATCTTGATTCAGAATAGTTAATAGGGAGGAGTCTCTTAAGCTTTATCCTCTATCTTTTGTCTAACCTGGGTGGCTTCTTTATTTCTTCCGTCTGGAAGAAAAAGCAATCCATGGCAGATGACTTCTTTTCCTCATTAATGTTTAATGGAACTCCCGTCCATACCTATACATTTCTGTAAAACATGGTCATCAGTTTACCCACAGGATATTTTTAATATAACATTCAGGCTTTTAAGATGGAATTTCTCTTTCTTTTGATCTTGGATTTGGTTCAGACCTCTTTAGAAGTTGCAGTTCTCTCATTCCTAGGCATCTTGTTTGACTGATACGATATTTAATCTTCCGTCATCCCAGCCGAGCTGTTGTGCATGATGAATTAAACATCCATGCTGTTTTCTTTGATCACAGAAATAACAATTACTCTGTTATTATAATCTCTTAACTTGTCATAAGGCTTGCATAGCTTAAATGGAAAAGACCAGTTAGATCATTGATTCCACACACTTCTTTAGAAGCAGAATACATATGGACGGCTTATATTTGAGCAAGAGACAGATCCCCCTGCCTTGCATCCACCTATTTGAAGTGAAACTTGGCGGAACATCAGAGTCTTCTGTATGTTGGGGCCCTGCATTGGCCAGACAGATTACCTAGGTGACCTGCTATGATTTTATATTTTTTTCTTTTTTCTGTCTTTAACTTGGAGTTTGGTTTTCTGGTGCTATGTTTTGTCTTTTAAATTATCTGTCAATATAACAATCAACACTTCCAATTAAAGTGAAGTTTAGACTTCCTGAAACTGAGTGCTGCTCTTCCACCAGCAGAACAGGCAAGGGCAACACTGTTGCTAGAATTAAAAGCCCAGCGCTGGAGATAAAAACAAACCAAAGCTCTCTGGTGCTTGCCTTTCCTGTCTAGTGCACTGTGTATGTTTTACCAGAAGGCAATTATAATATGTGTGACTGCTTTGGGAGCCAATACTTTCACAGCAGAGCCGGTCTTGTAAGCCCTGCATAGTGATCACTTCTAGTCCACAGCCCTGTGTGCTGGGCTTGCAATTCCCACAACAAATTAGTAGTCTTTCTGGACCTGATCCAAAGTGAATGAAGTCAGTGGGAACTATTTCAGTTGGCTGTAGATGAAGTAAAACATTATAAAATAATAAGTGCAAGGGAGTCTGTTCTGCCATCACACACCTGCAAGGATAGCACCATGTAGATTAGTATCTTGCATTTATATAGCATTCTTTCCCATAAAATACTCAGATGATTTTTATAAATGATGAGCTCAGTGCTCGTTACAAATTTGCATGTGTCCAGCTGGGATTCCAGAGAACTGATGTTTGCTCATGCAGGTCCCTTCGGCAGGATCAGATTCTGCGTCTGTTCAGAGCCACTGAATCCAGCGCTGAAGTGTGCCCGTCTTTGTGGAATACCGTTGTTAGCAATTCACAGCAACACTGCACAACATCTTGTGTCAAGCTGAGAATATCCTACCCAACTGAAACCACAGGGCATGCTTACAAAGAAAGATTAATCTCTCTTTTAGAGTTTGCCCAGGAACCCACGGTTGATTTTTCCATGAATCCTCTGCAAAAGATCACACCTTGAATACAAAATGTGTGCGTGTGTGTATATGTGTATATATATCTGTAAAAACTGTCAAAGGATGGCATCATGTGCAGCACTAGGCATCCTCATGCCAAGACATGCTGAGTACAGTTACACACAAAAAAGAAAGCAACTGCTCAGTCACCGGCACAGTGCTTGCAGTCATTAATGCCTTTTCCCCAGCTGTAAGTCAGGTTAACTTGCAAAATTGCCTGGTTCTCGGTGCTTGATGTCACCCGTGCCAGCTGCAGACATGCTCCTCTCTTCATTTTAGAGACTTCTCCAGGAGTTGCTGAGGTGACATTTGTGGAAAAGGAGCCAGCTGAACACCACACAATCATTTCATGGGAGCAAGTGAGTATTTTCGTGATAATACTCCAGTGAGGTCAGTCTGAATGTACAGCAGCCCTTGGATAATGTCAAATGCAGTGGCTACCTTGTGTTCGTCTGTGAGGCAATCGGTTACCAAGTTTGATGCACAGTGGAGCCTAAACAGATTCTTTTTTTTTTTTAATCGGGTATTACTCTGTCTTTTAGGCTGTCACATGCACCTGATCTGTTAGAGAAACTTCATCAGTGTGGGTATATTCAGAAGACAACTCTAAGAAGAAATCACATAACTGTAGTAGGCAGCAACAGTGGTGACTCAGTGGAGAACAAACATTGTTCTGACTCAGGTCTGAAACCATTTTCCAACTCCCTTTCAAACAAAATGAAGAAGCTCTTTATTTTTCATGGATACTAAAGACCTCAAGCTGGAAAATACCACTGAGCCACCCAGTTCGTTCCAGTTATCTATTTCTCTTTTCAGTCTCAGCTATTCACTTCCATTTATCATGGCCCTTCTTCCACCTCCCCTTTGGCTGACCAACCCAATCTTTTGGCTAAGGCATGTCCTGTTGCCTGTTCTAGAAGACTGTGAAGGACGCATGCTACCTTGACTCCACTGACCTCAGTGCATCAGAGTGTGTGACCAAAGGGCTCCTGAATACTATCGTGTGACTCTGGTGGGCAGAGATGGCATTTTTGGTCCCCTTTTTGAATATGCATGTGTTTATCAATCCCATGACCATGGGAGAATAACTGCTTTCTAGGTATCACTCATATCTGGGGAAGGGACAGTAGAAGCTGACTTGCCTTTGGAAAGGGGCATGGCAGAGGATGGAGTTGAGTGAATCATGCTCCCTCTGCTCCAACCCTGGCTATGCCATAACGCACAGGTTCCCAGAGACTGCGCTTGTTACCACTACGTAAAATAACTTCCCCTTTGATGACGCCTTGCCATTTACAGTTTTTCCTAAACAGTAGGGAAAAATCTTGCACTAGTTTTGATAACACCCTATCCCAATTAGTGATATTTATCAAGAATTTATAAATCTAGGTGAGAATGTATGTGATGTAAACCTGTGTTATTTACTGAAACTTGTACAGTAGCCAGCAACTGTGGTCAGGCAGAAATGTCCGGTTTTTCAGGTTCGTGTGAACTGATTCCTGATTTCCTATAGCTGTTGTTCAGGTGTCGGATTAACTGGGCTGGAAAGTCTGAGGCACCCTGACTGTGAGCCAGCTCAGGTCTGGGAGCAGCAGAGTGACATTCGCTCATTCTTCTGTTGAGTGGAGAGGACTGCTTCTCCTGAACACGGTATTGCTCTCATTTTCAGGTGCTGCTACTCCTCCGAACTAAATTGGGTTTTTTTCAAAATTGAGCTATTCCTGTAAAGCCAAACTTTGAAATGCTGTAGCCAAAGCACTTCACTCCAAAGATGTCAAAACAAAACTTCAGCTCCCCCACTCCCGGTGATGGACTAAGTTAATTGTGGAAGTAAATGGTGAAGATTAAGTAGATACAGTTGAGCTGGACTGCTAATGGTGAAGGACTTCGCTATCTATTTCTTTGCTTTTGGTTCCAGTTGCATTGACAAAACCTGAAATCTCCCTTCTCCAATTAAAAGATAACTATTTTCTTTTTCCTTTTTTTCCTTTGGGGATGAAGTCTGATATCTAACACAGTCCACGCAAGTGCAGTATGTCCTGCAGTGATGATTAAGTGCAAAGGACTCAGCACTTCACAGGCCCTTCCAGGATGAACTTGCACCTCACTTTTCCTCAAACTCATCCTGCTTGAATTTGAATGCAAGTTTATGTGTACCCAATGTTCACTTTTATCACTGTTCTTTTTTTTTTCGTAGCCACTAGGTGGCAATACTTATGCATGTAATCATTTCTCCATAGTTTAGATTTTAACAAGATCTTATCACAGTCTATATTTTTAACTCCCCTCTACGTCCTTGGTTATGAAAGTATTTGAAGGGCTTTTTGTGTGATGTAAGGAAAACTGGTCCAACTATTCCCAAAATTACATTCTTTTTCAAAAAAACCCTCTCTTTTCATTGAGACTCACCAAATAAAAGCTCTATTCTTAAGATTTTTTTTTTTTTTACATTTTTTTCTAGAAGCAATTTTCCAGTCCTATTTCAGTTTTGCAATTGAAAGGTATTTCTGCTGAGAGAAAATCTATGGTATTTAGAAACTCTGAAAAGAAAATCAACCTTTTTTTAAATTATGAATTATTAAAATCATATTCTAGTAATGCTGGCAATGTGCATTTGTTTTTCTCTCCATCAGCTGTGTTTGTTAAATTGGGCTGTGCCCCGTTTGTGCTAGTACTTAACTGGATACTACGATGGAAGTTTTAAAATCTTAGATCAACTTGTTGAATGTCTATTAGCTGCCATGAGGTTTTGCAGGGGAAGGTGAGCTTCATGACAGGAGACAGCGCAGTAAGACAGTAGGAGAGCGGAAGAGATTTTTTCCAAGTCTTTCTGTAGGGGTAGAAAGAGCTGTTAAGTCTTACACTTCAGGAAATCAAACCTGATATCAACCCTGAATATTTTATTGGAAATCAGCAAACTCGCAAAAATATTTAAGGTGTATGATTGTCAAGTGTTTGCATGGGTAGCATCACTTCCCCAAAACTTTCAAGCAGTTCAAAATATTTTAATAAAAACAAATAATTTTTTCACCTTTCCTGTTATTTAGACCTACCAAGGTGTTATCTTTTCCCCAAGGAAGTGAGACAAGCAACAGAAGGGGAAGTAGAGACAGAGTTACCAGATCACTGGAACACCACTGCTAATAACTGTATATTGTCCTATGACCCCATTCCCACTCCTAAAATTAGACTGGCAACTGCCCTGCTCCCCTCCACGTGCAGTTTTTAAAGGTAGGTGTTATACTAAAACATTGCTAGGAGGCACTCTGGTATCTGCAGTGATGACGTCTGATCCACATTTCCTTTTTGCCTCAAGCAGAAGAGAAATAAGTCACTCACATCATTGTTTTGGTTTTCAAAAAATAGAAAATTGCATTCTGTTAGGGGGAGCTGGAGGTGCCAGGGCTCAGCACCGCAGCAGGCCAAGCAAAATGAAGGGGGTCATTTTGCCTGTTCCTCTAATTGGCTTGTTAGCAGTGTCTGAACTGCCCCTGGCTGGCTGTAAGTGATCCCTGCCCATCACGTTGCTGGAGCATTGATATTCTACAACTCTACATGCGAAATTTGTTGTTTCTCCTTACGCACTTTGTCTACAAAGATTTATTTTTCTGTAATAAAACCATAAAAAAGCCCTCAAGCAGTCTGGTGCTTTCCTGTTGTGGACTGTCTTAGGCTGCCAAACAATTTAGAAACTCTCTCTGCATGTAAATCTCAGTCGGAAATGCGGTAGTGGTTTCTGGCTATTCTAGAAGTCTTCCTTGTTGCTTCTACCATACCTTTTTTTGACTCAAAAGTATGCATGCAGGCGTGCGCATCCACAAGGGTCCTTCTTGCCATCCTCCTTGTAATGTCCTCCCTCAGCATTAGGCGAGCCTGCCATCCCTGATCCCCAGGAGCACAGGACCTGCCCATCCTGAACCTGCCTTGTGGCCCTGACCGTGGGAGAGGCAGGGAAGTGGATCCAGCAGAACCAGTGCATGAGGAAAGATATATTTCTTCAAGCTGCATAACGGGGGAGAGGCTGGAGGACTTTTGGGAGGTGGATAGTGCTTCTGACACAGCATGCCCCTCCTGTGGGGCCTTATAATATGCTGATTAGAAATTGGCTACACAACACCGTCCTCAAGAGAATGGCCAAATCCTGTTCTCTGCCACGGGGGACGGGTCTACCCCAGTCCCATGCCTTTTGGGGCAGGAAGTCCAAGCAAGGTGATCTCCTGGGAGTCCCCCCAGATCAGATTTACAAAAGGTGCAACAAGAATGTCTCAGTATCTTACATAAATTAACATCTTCTGCATTCATTGGCAGCTAGGGCAGACCAGTCATGAAACAACATGACATTAGGGAGAGAGAAAGGTGGCTGCTGATGTGCTCTGCTACGTGGAAGTGTGAGAAGTGACATAAAACCCTTCCTTTTCTCCCCAGAAGTTGGATAAAACTCATTCAGTTTTTTAGAGAAGTCTCTCTAAAGCGATATGCTTTGATTGCTGTCCATTTCTTTAGTATATTTGCTTGGGAGGCATTGGTACAACAGTACTTTAAGTGAATTGCCATGTGTCAGTGTTTTAGCTCTGGATCCAGCACTGATCAGGTCTTGGCAGCAAGGCTACCCTGGTTCTAATATTCTTCTCTTTCCTCAATGGACTGTGCTTTCTTGGGAGACTATTTGGGGATATTATAGACAATAAACAAAAGAAATAGACCTCACACACCATATTGGGCACTTGGGATATTTTGTTTTATGAGCTGATGAGTGTAACCAGATGACTGGAGTGAAAACAGCTGCTTGCCAGGGCTGTGGTTAAGCCACTTCTGGCACGTTATTAGGAATATCGTATTTTATGAGTCTGGAGATCACAACCCTGGAAACGACCAGTTGAGCAGGGGGAGTACAGAGCTTGAGAAGCCATTTTTAATATGTAGTAGCAGTTTGTTTCTCTGACTCTGCTGTCAGAAGACCACTGTTTTGAAGTCATAGGATCTTGTGGCTAAGCATAATATGACAAATTAGTCAATCCTTTCCGTCAGATGGGAGAGATGGATATAGAATCACAGAATATTCGTGAAGCTTTCTATATAGAGGCCTTTCCCTATAGACCCTAGATTTGCTCTGGTAACAACATTTTCCACCCATGTATTTTGCACCATCATTTGGAAAGTCGTGCAAAGGGACATGGTTAGGAGAATCCTAAAATGAAGTGGAGAGGGCAATCATTTGGAGAAACATGCACATGTTGATCTTTCCATCAAGAAAAGGAGGATTCAGAGCTGAAGGCCTATCCAGATGTGATTTTTTTCCTTGTCTTAATCAGCTATGCTTGTTAAATTGGGCTGTGCCCAGTTTGTGCTAGTATTTCACTGGATACTACGGTGGAAGTTCTAAAATCTTAGATTTTGTCATCCCAATGGATCTGGTTCTCCTGCTTAGAAGATAACACCCACTGAAGTCAAAAAAGCTGTTCCCATATGTATTTTTACTGCTGGGGTAGATTACTTAAAATTAGGGGGGTTGAAGTGGACTGAAAGTGCTGTGTAAACATTTACACTCTTCTGAGGCTTTGTAGCAGGTCTGTCATATTTTCTTCCTTCATAGTTTTAAACCCAGTCACTGTGCTTACAGCTACAGCTTGAAATTGGAAGTGGTAAAAGCACAGCATGAAATTGTAAATATTTAGGACTGAGAAGAACCCACAGAAGAAGGTGTGTTTGTTCAAGGCATTTGAAGAACTTCAGATATGTCCATGTGGTTTAGTAATCTCCTGAAACTTACCACCAGGGCCTCACCCATCACCAGGCTCTTATCAAAGGACGATAAATTCTCCTCAAAACAAAGTTGCTACAGTATCAGATTCTCTGCTTTAATACCTGTTGCCTCCGAAGATTTCCCCTACCTGGATTAGGAAAGCACTGTGCTAGCAACCAGGCTGCTGACGGGGCAAGTGAAGTGACCTGCCCTGTTGCAAGCTGCAAAGCCATTAATATCTGGGACTTGTCAGTAGCAGTCTGTTGGCATAAGTGGATATGCTTAGAAAGTAAGTTAACACGCAGGAGTGAAGGTTGTGGGTGGGTTAGAGGGTCCTGCACAGCGTATACACCACAGTTTAGGGGACAGGGACTGTAACAACTCAAAGAAAGTGACTGTGAATAAAGCTTTAATAGGCAGAAGGGCTGCCCTCGTTCTAGGGGAGGGAGGGGAATTGGACAGGAGGAGGCCAGCACCTTCCCTTGCTCGTGCCAGTCACTGATGGATTGGATCCATCAGTTGCAGCTGGATGCACAGCTGGCAGGTAGCTCCTCCTGGATAGAGGTATTGAGGCAACATCAGAGCAGATAACTGGATATGCACAAGTTGGAGACATGGGGAAGAATCTGATCAGCATCTCTGCAGATGTTACAAATTTGTGCCCCAAGTGAACCAGAGCTACATGAACTGCATGTGCATGTTTCTTTTCCTTAGCTACTGGTTACCAGAATATTCTTCCTTTATTTTATGAGACTTTGAATGTTACATTTTCTAGTAGCTGCTTCCAGCAGAGGCACAATATTGGAAAGCTGTTAACATCTGACTCGTCTGCTTTCTTCAAAGCAATTCTGTAACTGCTCCAAAATCCACCCAGGCCTCCGAGGCCAGGCTGTGAATACCTACCTGAATAACATCTTGATCTGTGGCAGGGTGAGCCTATAGGACGGAGAGCACTACTGACCTATAAATGTTCTTAAAGTTTGTAATTCTCTCTTTTGTTGCTTTGAGTGTCAAACTCATTGCACAAAGAGCAGGCCATGTCCAAGAGCATGTCTTTGAAACTGGCTGAATGAAAGAAATACACCTTTTTTAGGAAAGGCTGAAAATCCTGTCACAAAAGTACTTGAATTATCAGACTTGCTATGTTGCAAATCTCACATTATTTGTCCATTTTTCCTGTAAGATGTAGCTCCTGGAGTCCTGTGATTATAAACAGGTCTCAGATCAACATTTTAAAGAAGAAATTGTCTCTCCTCCTGGTTTAATGACAAAGCTTGACCCTCAAGGGGCTTATTCGTGTCTTTGTTCCTGAGCAGATTTAAAAGCACATGGAACTGAAAAGGGAGAATGACCACAAGTTGCAACTTGGAGGTTCAGACTGCAATTAGGAAAACTTTTTCACAAGGAGGGTGGTGCAGCCCTTGGCCAGGTCAACACAGAGGTTGTGGAACATGCATCATCGGAGACTATCCTGAGTTTTGGGGTCTTATTCTTTTGGAGTCTTGAGTTTGACGATACTTTAAATGCAAACTCACTTCAATCTTTTTCTCTAAAACAATTACAAACAAAACAACAGATAACTCCTTTAATCATGGGTGTTGCTTGTCTTCTTAAAACTGACAGGCTTCTGTACTGTTTCATTTTGTGTTCTTGACACATCAACAGGAACGGAGGGTCACTGGTCTGGACCCAGTCCTGTCACCAGGAGCAGTGCCTGCAATTGCCTATAGCTCTTTGGGTTTCTTGTTGTTCTGAGGATTAAGCCTTTATCCTTCCTTCCTCATATTTGTTGCTTAGCTGAAAAGTCTAAGTTAAGAAAGGCTTCTTCCACAACCAAGATAGGAATAGGAGAAGGGTCCTGGTTCTTAGAAGCACTCTCACCAGCTCGCTGTAGTTGCTTCTTTCGCTGTTGGCTCAGAAGGAAGCAGGCTTAGGAGCCCCAGCCAAGTGCTGAAGAAGTTTGGTGGGATGAAGCCAGACCAGCAGGTTTGTGAGACTGACTCTGTGTATTTGCACACATACTGTTTGTTAAGTGAAATGTCAAACCTGCTTGATTATGTGCAACCATTGAGTCTGTGCTTCTCTCACCTACTTGGAACTGAAGTCCCTCAGAAGAAGAGAGTCCTTGTGCTAATATTATACATGCGTTAGTGGAACAGGCAGGTTTAGTCTGATTTCACTTAAAGCAAAACTCTAGTCTTGTAAGCCATATATATGAAAAAGCTGATTGTTCTTATATATGTGATCTTGGAGTGGCTGTTAGTGTCAAAGGATGATATGTCGTCTCAGTTGGGGAACAATCCTGTAACAATCTTGTGATGACTGACTGCTCATTGTGAAATTTTCCCAAGTCATCTTTGTTAATACAGTAGCATAGACCCGAGAAATATGCAGTTTTCTCTCAAGGTTTTAGGATGAGGTATTTGAGCTGATTTGAGTCATCTTGGGGTTGAGGAAACCATTTGGTGACAAATATTTTTGTACCAATATTCAGTTGCTCTTTGAGTTTGAGGCACGTTCTGCATTTGCCTGTAATACTGTGATTGTGATTTGCAGAAAAACTCCTGCATATTGCCAGAGGATTTAAAGAACTTCTATCTGATGACCGATGGCTTCCAGATGACCTGGAGTGTGAAGACTGATGGTGAGTCCATGTATTGCTCTCCACTGATATCCTCATTTCATTGCAGCCAGTCTTTCCTTTGCAGAATCTCTTTAATTTCAGACTTACCTTCTGCACAGTCAATACACATCTGTCAGCATCCTGCATTAGTCTGAGCAAAAACACATGCACCAAGTCATTTTGAATGAAAAATTAGCACCATTCCTTAACTTGCAAAAAAATAAAGTAGTTTGTTTCTGCTAGGCAGCTTGATCAGAGACTACAGAAAACTGACCTCTGAATTAATAAGCGAGTGCAGCTCTGCATGGGATCGTAGACTGTTTTAGAGATGTCCTGGTGAGGAAAAAAATATGACTGCACATCAAAGGTCCCTTCCTGATGCAACAGAGCAAAGCCCATTGCTTGCATGTGCTGGACTTCCACAGAAGAGACGTGTACACTGAACACTGGCTAGAAACCAAACAGGTCTTCATGACATAAATACCATTCTGTAATACACTGGCCATCTGTTTAGACTCAGGTTTAGGTATGTAGTTTAAATCTTGTACCTAGACTGCCTCTGTAGTTCACAGAGAGAGAAGCAGTTGTAGCACATTATCCTATCATAAAGCAGTAGGAAGAGTCACCCTCTGATAACGCCTCTTTCTCATTAAAAAGTATATGTACGTGCCGAGCCTGATTCTGCTTTCCATCAGCTAAAGTCCATTCACTGGAGTTATTTCTGGAGTCAGTGGTGGAGGTGAGAATAGGACCGAGCTTTATTAACCATCCTTGTTTGGTAAGAATCAGGCAGTTCATTCACTTTGCACTGGAGCCCTGCAACTATTATCCTGGCTCTTGTTGCCTTCAAGTGAGGTTGTCAACTTGGGCTGTGGACACTGCTCGCTTCTGGAGATGGGTGTCAGATATAGGGTTTTCCTCAGGAAGTGGAATTTCATTTCAGAGACAGTTGACATAAGGGCTGTAGCACCTGCACTGCGTCCCATCGTGTTTCAAGTGGGATTTAGTGTGTTGTGACCTCTGAATAGTCTTGTGTTCAAGAAACCAAGGCAGCTCACATAACTGTCTTGTTTGAGCAAACATCCAGTAGTGCCTTCTGAGGTCCTTCACACTGGCATGTGGCTGAACAGGGTGCTCGTTGATGTGATGTCTGGTAATAGTACTAGTCCTCAGAAGGAGAGACAAGTCCTCAAGCATTCATTCAGGAACACCCACATGTTGACACACTAATAAAATCCTGTGTTGGTGTGGGAACCGAGAGGATGCACCCTGAGCAAGTACATGGGGTGGAAGAGGACGAGCTGCCCCATAAGCTGGAATGGGTGGGGTGGTTTCTGGTAGGAAGGACAGCAGCAGGGAAAAGAGTTTTGAGGAGGTGGCTGTAGCTAGCCAGGATTTTTAATAGCCAGTTTCACAGGACTGGGCTAACAGCTGCAGAACAGGCATAGCCAGCAGTGTACTTCTCATACCTGCACAGCTCTGAGATGGTGTCGCATCGCCTGTAAGTGTGATTGTGTTTTTGAAAAAGCCTAATTTTTGTTCCGCTGGAGCCTCACTTGGTTAAGTGTCCAGGCCTGCTGGGTATACCCGTCTCTTCTCCCCGTCTGTGTTTTAGAAGAGGTCGAGTTGCTTTGTGGAGGAAAAGAAGTACCTCCTCTGCTTTCCTGACACCGGATGTGATTAACGATCAGTCTTATTGCAGATACCCCAATGCCCCTGGGCTCCATGGTGATTAATAGTGTCTCAAAGCTGTGTCGGCTTGGCAGTTCCTCTATGTACACTCTGCCTAATGCACCAACTCTTGCTGACCTGGAAGATGACACAGACGAGGAAGGTAAGGTCCTGTTAACAGGGTAGCAAATGTGCTCTGTCTCATCCCTTTTGCTCTGTTAGGGTAATGTTAGCATATAGCACATGGATACAGCAACAGAAAAGGTCACTCCAAGTAGATGTGGTTTTCTTTGTCTCCTGCACCGGACCTACTGTATGTCCTGTTAGTCCCCTACATCCTTGAGAGGTAGACTTGTATGCTGTGAATCTCATGGGGATTGTTAATGCTGCCAGTTGCTAGTATTATTTGCATACTCTTTTAATAGCCTGGCAGCCCTCCTGTTCTGCCTTTTCCCTATTTAAATTTTTAACTGAGGCTTCCTCCAGTGATTCAGCTTCTAAAGTCTTTGTGTGCTTATGGTGTTATATGAACAAAAGATAACAGTTTTTGTCTTGGTAGTGAAAAGACAGCTGGATATACTCTTTGGAATTGGAAAAATAACTCTGGTAAATACATGTAAGTGTGAGGTGGCACTGGAAAATGTGTGTTTCCAGACTGCCTAAAAATGCTGGGTATCCTGCAGTTTGGAGAGAAGAAGAAAAAAAGCCCACTCTTTTTCTCAGAGCTCATACAGTTTAACAGACTGGAAGAAGTAAGAAGATAAGAACAGAGGCAGGTGTCATGCTGACTCTTTAAAACATTGTTATTTGATTTCAGTCTTATCTCTGAATCTCCATAGCTCTTGTAGCTTCTACATGTGGCTGAAAGTTTATTTTTGCACATTCCAGCTTGACTGCAGTCCTGATCTTCTAGCCATTGTAATGAAATGGGCCAAATTCTGCTTCCATTTAGCCACTCAGACCTCCACTGATGCAATTACAAGGTACACTGAGAAAAAGCTACATCCCCACCAGTGTTCTCATCCTGACTTTCATGGAAAGCTCTTCTTAAGAGTACAGCTCTTGTGTCCCCCTTCTTCCTCAGCAGCATTAGAATTCAAAATTATATTCTACAAGAACTTCCATCTACACGATCTCAAAATGGTCCTGTAGAAAGGCTATGTGGTGGTTGTGGGTCAGAAGTTGGGTATCAGTCAGAACATGTGGCTGTTGAGAAGGACGCTGATGTCACACTGGAATGTATGAAGAAATGTATATGTCTCCAAGTCCATCAAAGTCTTCGGTCACGAGAAAAAGAATAAACTGTTCTCCCTGTCCTCCTTAGATAAAAAGGAAAGGAGGGCAAAAAAGAAAAGGTGGGTAGAACAGAAGTAATGGGCTTCAATTGCAGCAAGGAAGATTCAGGATCCACATGAGGAAAACTTCTAAGTGATAACGATGGATTTGGGTTGACTGTCTGGAGACTGTGGCATCTCCAACACTGGAGGACTTTAAGAAAAGATTAGACAAACGCCTCTCAGGAGTGACATCTATAAAGCTGATTTTGCTTTATGCCAGGGAAGGACTAGAGGGCAGCTTGATGTCTTTTTTCAGCCGTCAGATTTTGACTCCGTGGTTTGTTTTCCTACCACAGATGAAAATTTTTCTCACTTTTTTTTTTTTAAATACAGGGCACTTAATCCTTTCCAAGAAGTATAAATATAATAGTTTGATTCAGTTCTTCCTCAGCTGATTTATTAATAAGTATCAATAGATTGACTCTCTGCAGCTGAGTCACAGTCATGTTTCATGAAGATTTTTTTTCTGTTTTCAGGTAATGGAGACAAACCAGAGAAGCCACACTTTGATTCTCGTAGTCTAATCTTTGAATTAGACCCATGCAATGGGAATGGGAAAGTTTGTCTTGTTTATAAGCACGCTAAACCAGGTAAGACTGAAAAGAGCAAAGTTAGCCATCTCTTGTTGTGGATGTGTAGAATCATCTTACATTTCTGATCTTCTTTGCAATTTGTAGATGAACATTTACTGGGACATCCTGTCTCCACTGAAGTCGGGGCCTAAACCTTACAGAGACTTAACAGGAGCTAACATTTTCCCTCCTTTCAGTGTTTGAATCTGAGTTATAACTCATGATTTCTGCATGCATAGCATACTTGCATACTGAAACAGGAAAGCATTCACAAATGACCTACAGACAATCATGTTGAAATAATGCAGAAGGCTAGAGCTCAGCCACTAACATAGCTCTGGTTACTCGCATGTCTCGGAACAATTCCCTTACATTTTGATGAGAAAGGGTGTAATGCTGTTTAGAAGCAAAGGGTGGATGGTGAAAAAAGTCCTTTGCTGATTGAGACAGGCTTAGACTGGTTCTTCCACCTTGTGCATGGATGCAGAGCCTCCGGGTGCTAACTAGGTCAAAATTTGGCAGGAAGGGTTGAACAGGAGAGTGAAAGATGTGAGCTGAGCTTTTCTTTCTGACAGATACACAGAAAGCTGCTATCAGTCAGGGATTAGTGAAATACCCAAGTCATTTGTACAGTAGTTGTCATTTGACACAGTGCACAGGTCACTAGGTGTATGTGTATACCTGTATGTTCACTCTATCGGGGTGTGCAATTGTGATATACCTATTCTTAAGAAAACCCTTCGGTTGTTATCTTGTGTCTTTCATTGGGCGTGACTACAACTCCCAAGGCAGAAACTTCTCACTTGTCCTCTTGCCTTCCAATCTTAGCGATTTCAGCACATGCAGTGGATAACCTGAGCAAGGGGAGGGAGCGTTGTTTACAGGTGTTGATGTCAGCACAGGGGACAGTGTGTTTAATTGGCAATGTTCAGTGTCTCCCAGTGTTTTTCCAAGTAAAATCACTTCTTTTTATGCTCAAGGATGTCGCCACCAGAGAAATATTTGATCACTGTGGAAAGATTTTGCAAAATGTGTTTTTGTTGGCAGCACACACTCCCATGGCTTCCAGACTCTGGACTCTATTCAGTAATCCAGGTGACTGACAATTGAGTTAGTTGCTTTTTACTTTGTGGGGTAGATAAATGTTTGCCATAATTGTACTTTGAACTTACACTACAAAGTTGCTGATGTCTGAGCATGTTCCGTGTACAACATCAGTCCCATGTTGGGAAGGAATAGCACTGCATCCATTTTACGGTGGGGAAAATGAATATAATGGCTATTGCATGAGTATTTTTAGTAAGGCTGGGAGCAGAACCAAGTCCTTTTCAGTCCCCATCCTCTAACCGTTAAACCACATTGCCTCTGGATAATCATCTATGTTCGTCAGGGATGCTGCCTTTTAGAAGCTGCAGCCTTTCTGATAAGTATGTTGTGTCTCCCACCTGACAATGGCCAGGAGTTGATCTTATCACTGCAAAGCAACAGTATAATTTGTGTTTGTTTTGTTCTAGTTGTCTCCCCAGACACAGAGATATGGTTCCTGGACAGAGCTCTGTATTGGCATTTCCTCACCAAAACCTTCACGGCCTACTACCGCCTGCTCATTACCCACCTGGGTCTCCCACAGTGGCAGTACGCCTTCACCAGCTATGGGGTCAGCCCCCAGGCCAAGGTAGGACAGCAGGATCCAGCTCCTCAGTATTTCATAGAATCATAGAATCATAGAATCATTAAGGTTGGAAAAGACCTCTAAGATCATTGAGTCCAATCATCAACTCAACATCACCATGCCTACTAAACCATGTCCCTAAGCGTGCTCTACTTCATCAGTCAAGGCTGTGTACGTGGTACTCTAGCCTGTGCTCTGCCTTTCTGTAACTTTCCTGCTAGAACATTTTTGTTCAGTATATTCACAAACCTTAGTGAAATCTTTGATGTATTCCCTAATCATTTGCAGCCTCTGTTAGTTAAAATCCCCATTTGTTAACCATTATCATTTTTAAAGGTCTTCAGGGGTGGTATATTAAAACGGTTTTCCATTAAGCAGTACATGAATAGATTGCCATCTACATTTTGGTATTGATCTTTTGTTTATCTTGTTCAACACTTTTGGTTTCAGTGGGATGTGTAATACCATAACCCCTGCAGTTTTATTTCCTGACTTCATCAATGGAAAACTGATAGGAAAAACACTAAGAGATGAGAACTGCAGGGCATAACATTGTGGTGGCATCTGGGAATCAAAAAAAAAGTCATTGTGGTCACTTCTAGATGTAAAATCAGGCCGAAGAGGAACAAACACAAAATCCTTTGTGTAAAGAGTTAAAAAACCTGCATTATTCATGTGTGAAGAGAGGGAGGGAGGCTATATTTTGAGAAGTTCAGCTACTTTGGTTCCAATTTGTAAGCACTTTTAAATTCCAAGGTTTTTTTAATCTTTTCTGCTTCTCTGAATCTAAATAAATGTGGTTTAGTTTCATCCGCTCCTCCGCTCACTTTGCATTTCCTCGTGCAGTTTAAATCAGGAGCTGCTCCTGATAGGAGTTACACTGCAGGAAAGATAGTGTAAAGTTTATGTCTGGTTCTCCTGTTCTGTGTCTGGAATGTGGGGCAGTTCCAGGACTGTAGCTGTAGCTGTGCCTTGTATATCTTTATCACAAGGCACTCTGCACAGTCCTGTAAACTGCAAACTGATAAGTGGTGTATGATCGAAATCAGGTCTCAGGGGTGAGGTGGAACAGGGTGGAAATGTCTAATTGCAGTTTGATAGTAACCTCTTCCTTCTCCACCATCATGCCTTTCAGCAATGGTTTAACATGTATAAACCCATAACCATCAACACAGCTCTCCTCTCTGAAGAGGCCGATTCCTTTGTGAACAAGCTGGACCCCAATAAGGTATTTAAAAGCAAGAACAAAACTCCAGTGATCAAAAAGAAACCACCCTCCCAGCCAGCAGGCTCCCAAAAGAGTCACACAAGCATGACCTCCTCCAAGACATCCTCACTAGCTGGGAATTCTTCAAGGAAGTGAGACCCCCAGATCTGACCCTGGACAGCAATTGCAATAAGCTTTGATGTTCTCTGATGCAGAGTCTCAGTGGTTCAGACAAAGTTCCTTGTGCATGAATAGATGTACCCATGGAAAACACATTGCAGCATTTGCATGAAATATAGCCATGATGTGCTTTTACATGGGAGGGATATAGTTCCTGGAGACTCTGAGAAAAAAACTTGAGACAATGATTTTATTCCCTTCTGCTACTTGCAGCATGTACTTTTCAGAGGGCATGAAGAAGCCCTTGATGTCACTGCTCTATAGGGAAGCTTTTGTTCCTGTGCAACTACAGCAGTGAAATGAAAGAAAATATAAGTCACCATTACTTCAATAGACCCATGCTGAAATACAGCGTATGAAGATATTTCTGCCATCTCCTTTGAAAGAAACCTGTCCTGACCTTGCATGCTATGGGAGCAGGCTGGAACCAAAGAACAAAGAAATATCTTCTGCTTCAGACAGAATTAAACTCCGCACTTCCCTGTGCTCCTTCCAACTTCTGCTCTGAGATTCATGGTACAAAGGGACCTGGGGCTTCCAGGTCTCTGCATTGTCCTCGTCACTTGCTCTACAGCCCAGACCACTTTTTGGCCTTTGTGCCGTATCTTTTCCGATAGTGACGTCTGTGTGATGTCCTTCCCGAGTCAGTGGTGTTAAGTGTAAGAGACCCATAAGCCAGGAGGACCCCTTGGTTTGTCACACATTCATTTGCAAAGCTGGCCATTCAAACAGCCTTCGACACTTTTCAATTGGGCAGGATCTGACCAGGGGCCGCTGAGATCCTACAGCCTTAGAAGCCCCTGATGTTATTTTCTATACTGTAAGTGTTCAGGTTAGAACTGCACTTTAACCCATTCACTGCTGGTTTTCAGTTACACCTGATTGTTTCCATTATTTTTCTATGCCATTCTGTCTTCTTAGATGTGCTGGAAACACATGGTAGCAACGAACACATTTTGTGCCTAAGCAGGGAAATCAAAATCACCATCTTCAAATAAGCACTTAAATAAGATTATTGAAACATCATCATCTTTTATTTATAAAACAGTCACATAATTACATAAGACAAACCTACCTCACAGGGATGTTGTGAGGCTTTCACGAGTATTTGTATGGCCTTCAGAAAGTTGAAGCCACCCTGTAAGTGCTTAATAGTATTTTAATAAAGATTTGAGTATTTTCCTCCAGAGTGATTGGGTGTTTGAAGATGTTTTTGGGAGCAGATGCACGAGGATGTATGGTAAGAGCAGGGTGCAGGCTGGATTGTTTGGTGGTTTTTTTAATGCAGTGGAGAATCTCTCACTGAGAAGGGATGGGTTATAGTGTCTTTTAGCTAATCCCATCTTGAGCTACGCAGCTGTTTCTGCCACTGTTGGATCCTGTATTTTGACTTCTATGAACATACAGGTATCTGGAATCTTGCAGCTCTGCTTTGCTTTTCTCTGGATTGTGATGATTTTTTTTTGGTAGATTTTTACACGAGAGATTGAATAGTTTTTTCGGGTCACAGGCAGGTCTAGCCCTACCCAGGTCTGCCCAGTGTCTCAGAGGCCCAGTTTGTCTGGTTAAGCAGAGTAGGCTTATTGAAGACTAGTCCCTCATTTATTGAGACTAGTCCCTGCATTCTCCCTGCAGGTGAAGAAACAGTGTCCTCTGGCAGCACCATTGCATGTGCCCTTACCCACTTCGTTACCCTTTGGCAGTCAGTCCATACGTCCACATAGGCTTTGCTGTCAGGCCCTTTCCTCAGAGCATGTGGCCATCACAGCGTAGAAGTCTCCACCACTGGCTGTCCTTTCTCATTTCCACTTTCTGGGACAGGTTGGTTGTGAAAATCAATGAAGAGTTTGTGGATGAAAACACCAGCAAGACTTCCCAGAATCGGAGCTGTGAGTGGGACCCACCACCAGTAATGTCCAGCCCTAAAATGAAACACAGAAGAGGCAACCGGTGAGCCAGACGAACAGGGTGAGGTGAGCTGAGACTGCTGGGGCAGGAGTGAGCTGTGTGAGCAGAGGTCTCTAGCCCCACTTCACATACTGGGCCCTACAACTGGCTTAATCAAATTCTCTCTCCGCCAGCGTAAATGCTGGAGGGAGGGTCCTTTTCCCCACCGGCCTGGGAAAGTCGCTCTGCGCTGTCTGCAGGTTTCTTGTTCTCCTACAGAAATAGTCTGCATGATCCTGATGAGTGTGACTGTCAGACAGGCAGACACACACACACACCCTTTTTCCCTCCCCATTTCCAACAACATCTGCACCTCCTCTACCAAGCTCTCAAAGATATTTTCTGGAAATTTAATGAAAATGAGCAGCTGAGACAGGAGAGTCTGCTAATGCCCTCACTATGGGAAAAGCCATAGCATGTCACCATCTTACTAGATAGGGGAAGGCAGGGTTTCATCTCCAGATTCAGACATCTAAATTTAGGAGAGCTATGCAGAAATCCAGCTGTAAGTGCCTGCTTTCAGGTGAGCTGAATCGCTCTCTGGCTCTCCAGTCACTACTCTAACCAGCTAGATCTCCAGCTATTTGGTGCCCAAACTGAGGTATCTGAATGTCAAGATGAATCCCATGCTGGAGAATTAGTGTACCCCAAATTTTGTGTACATAATGCATGGGCCTCCTCTACGCACAACCCTTGCTCTCTGAGAATGGAGAACACACTCTGCAGTGATACCATCACTTGGTCCAAAGAAAAAGGCTTCATGACCATTTTGTCTTGGGCTTATCTCCTCTCCTTGCGAGCTGAGCAGTGTAAAAGTAAAACTGGTCACTCACGTGAATACATCCATTCCCCAGCCAGCAATTGCCGTGAAGACCCTGGGGGGCAGGTCCCGGGAAGGGTTTATGGCATAGCCTGTGTTCATCCCCATCCCCAGGCCGATGCCCAGGACCAGGATACCCGTGAGCAGGGCCTGCGTGCCTTTCAGGGCTGCGTTGTTTTTCTCGTCATGGATGATCAGAATACCCAGGAGCAGCATCGCCGTTGCCATAAACTGTGGGAGCAGGAAAGGGGGAACAGGTCAAGAGAGAATGGGGAAGGCAGAAGGATCCTGCTCAGCAGAGAGGAAGAGACTTCCCAGAATGGAAGAGCAGGTGGGATTCATGGTCTGGTCAAGTCAGGGAGGACCCCAATGTTATTCCCTCCTCACAGGTGGACTGAAGAAAAGTCTTGACTCATTTCCCAGCAAAAACGTCTCCGCCTCATCACAAAAATGCTCTAGGACTGATACAAACTTCTCAGCACTGTCGTCTCCCTCCAGCTTTCAAGTTAGGGACATAGGTTATTTTAAGTACATTTCATCTAACAGAGCCAAAGCCATAACAAACTGCTAACAAGACAAATCTGATCCTCCCTAGAGGGAGTGATGTTTTATATAGCCTGTTGCATTAGCCCTTTCAGGCTTAAAAGCAGAGACTGGATTCTCATCTGGGAAACCGAATCTCCTGTCTGTGACAGTACGTAGCTGGCATTTGTAGATCTGCAGCGCCCAAGGTGTCAGGAACTGTGGTTTGAATAGAGGTGATGACTCCTGTCTCTTTCTGCTTCAGAAAATGCAGCTGGAGAGCCTTGGACTGCTTCCAGAGATGCCGCAAAAGCAGAAACTCTTGGCAATGCACTGTCACTGTCATTTGCTTTCTTGTGCAGCAAGGACACTGCATGCTTCCCTCACTCAGGAGGCTGAGTGATCAGGTCCCCACTTGTAGGCTCTCCAGCTCTCACCATCCTCCTCTTCAAGCTCAGGCAAGAGTTTTGTCAGCTCAGAGACAAAAGCACAGGCTTCCTCAGATTTGAGTTGGAAGTGAATCTTCCTTCTCCAGTGTCCCAGTACTCCACGTCCCCTGAAGCATCCCCTTCCTATTTCTGGGCATCTGGACGTTGTGCTGTATGCTGGGAATCAACCGTACACAGTCTAAATTGGACTGTTCAAACCCTAGAGGTTCAATCCAGACAGATTGTGTTCATGTGAAGACAGTCCTGGGCCCTCCGTGCCAGTGAGGGGCAGCCAGCAGAGCTGCCTGGGAGCATGGAGCGGCTGAAGGATCCAAAAAGGGGAAGAACAGTTCAGGGAAGTGCCCAGAGCCCAAAGGAGATAGTTCCTGATACAGCTCAGCTCCTCACTTCCCATTGCTTGGGCTGCGTGCAGAGAAGGTGTTTGGAGGGCACTTGGGCCAAGCTGCGGAGCAGCCTGCAGGTGTTACCTTTTAGGCTTGCTCAGCCACCAAGGTGCCTTGGACCCTACCTGTCAGGCACCTGCCTGGATGGTGGGCTCCTGGGAGTAGAGGTTGTGATTGTGTCTGCGCGTGTAGGGCTGTAAGTCCCCTGTAGCAGACCTGCGGTAGCACCCGTTACCGCCCCCCTCCTCCTAGCACACCACAGCAGTCCCCACTGACCTCTGTGAAGAAACCCCCCAGCAGGGATACACAGGGAGAGGGGTAAGTGGAGAAGATCGACGCCGTGGCAGTTGGTCCCGTCACTGTAAAGTTCCCCTTGGTGTAGTTGTACAGAGCATCTAGGAGAAATGGGAATTAGGGAAGTTAGCACAGAGTTCATCCCACATGGCACGTACGCAAGTCCACCCATTGCAGCCAGCACAGACACCAAGGGGAAGAGAAGCGATGGGAGATATGATGAAGGTGACACACCCCTCGCAGGGCATGATCTCACCGATACCTGTTACCCGCAGACTTTGGTCTGCAGTTGCTTCCTTATGCCTACCCAGCTCCCTGCCCCTGCTCCAGGAGCCTGGAGCAGGCTGGATGCTCTGGATATGCTGGAGGCCTCCATCCCTCTGCCCCTTGGAGACTGAGACATGCTGGAGCCCATGGGTGGTGGGTCCTCAGCTCACAACTCAAAACCACAGATGATTACTGTCCTGTTTTCCACAGACCAACAGAGTCCCCCAGAGCTCCAGCTGTACCTAAGACATGGTAGTCCATCTAACTCAAGCCCTTGCAGACCCTGGAAACAAAATGTAGCTACTGGCCTTGAGTTGAGGACCGGCTTTGGCAGTGGGAATGCCCTGAGCTGCAGGAACTGCACATCCTTCCCAGAGATATCTGAGCCTTGCTCTGGCCTTGA